GCACAGCATCAGGCACAGGGCACAGCATCAGGCACAGGGCACAGCATCAGGCACAGAGCACAGCATCAGGCACAGGGCACAGCATCAGGCACAGAGCACAGCATCACGCACAGGGCACAGCAGCAGCTGGGTGCTGCCCTTTCCCTGCCGCTGCCTGCCCGTATCTGCTCCCGCTGCTTGGGTTCCCAAAGCCTCTCCAGCCCAGCTCTCCTCCCTGCCGGCTGTGGCCTCTCCCCTTGGGCTGTGTGCTCACTCTTATCTCTTACCCGGGTACTTAGCCTTAAGTATCTCTACCTGTTCCGTCAGCAAAAAACATCTCTGCTCATAAAGTTTTATGTCCTTGCTCTTTTTCTCACTCCTGTTTTGCCATCTTTTTTTTTTTTTTGTTGTTGTTTTAATTTTTGTTTGCAGGGGTGTGTGTGTGTTTCAGAAACAGCTTTAAAAAAAGCCCAAGGAAGTTGAGTTTTGCTGTGCCATCAAAACCTCTTGTTTTACTGCCAAATTGTGATTTTGATTCCAGCAGAGAGGTCTGCAGTGACTCCACAGGCTCCAGTGGATGTGCTCCTCAGGTCGTGGTTCCTGGACCTCCCTCCTGCAAAGCAGGGTCAGAGTTTGACCATTCCTTTTCTAGCCAGAGGGAGCTGGAAGGATCTCCTTCTTCACCATGGGGTGGTAGAAGTTATCATAACTTTACCCTTCCAACTGCTTCCATTTCTGAAAAAGTCAGCTGTCCATATAGATTGTCTCATTATTTTAGTATCTATGCAGTGTTATGAGGGCTTTCTCTTTCCTTTAAAAACACATAGATCAGCTATGATTTGCCTGGAGGTATTTTCTGGAACACTATTTCTCAAAAGAGTGAGTGTTCTGAACAACATGTTTACTTCAGTTTTCATATTTCACATTTTAATGATACATTCTGACCCTTCTCTCTTCCTGCAAAATCTTTTGTTCATCTGTTTCTCTTCAAAGCTGTATATGTTATTAAATTTCTATCCAACACTGAATTGGGATTTTCTGCTTTTGCAACATGGCAAATTTTTGCAAGGTCTGTTGTTAAAAGTTCATTTGTGGTCTGCCACATTTGGGTTTTTTTCTAAATGTGTTATCCAAGCTGGCAGACTAGATGCTTGCCACATCTCTTTCATTTCAGGCTCATCAGATGGTAGTTTTATGAACATCCTGGGCTATATATTCCATAGGTTAAAGTATTTATGTATTCCAGTGTTCAGGCTGATCCCAGGCATTTGCTGTTAAACCCTTCTAGTTCTAAGTTCCAAAGTTAACAATATTTATGTATTTTTGGCTCAAAATCACAAGCAGGCCATCTTGTCTCATTTGCTACATGACAAATGCAGGCCCAGGCCAGACAAAATACACACCAATGCTTATCTGGCAGAAACCTCACATGACTTAGGCTTTTCGTAACACAGCCTCAATCCTGCAAAGCATTAGGCAATTTGGCTCCCATTTAGCAACTTAAAGCACCTTTAAAACACATAAGTCATCCTAATGACTTCAGCAATTTAGAAAAAAATAATTTTTAATTGAGAGGTGTGTCCTTCTGAACACGATAATATTTTTCTGTAGAAGCCTTTGGCAAGGCTCACATGAGTAAACATGTGCACAAATGTAGAATGAGGAGTAGTGATTTTGGAAAGAAAAACTACTCCACATCATACTTCAAGCAGACACAGTTACCTGCCAAGCTGATTCTGTTGAGAAAAAGGATGGTGGTTTTGCAAAACTGCTTTAACATTTTGTATTTAAATGACCTAAATAGAAAATATAAATCAGAATTAAACTTGCCCTGTAATTAATATCAGACTTACTCTTTACTCAAATAATAGTGTTAATGAAACAGTTACTAATAGTTTATAAGCTCTTTGTTTCTGCCATTGCTTGGTACATTCTGTATGAAGCCTGCTAGAACTCTGCACCTTTTTCAAGTGAAAAAATGACTTTATCTTCACTCTCTCATAACAAACAAGCCAAATATATTTTCTGTCTTTTCAAGATAAGAGGATTGAAGAAAAAATGGTGGGAAAAGGCCTCAACATTATTATTTCTGAAAATTGTATGTGAAAACAGCATTTTACAATAAAAAGAGCTCAGTACTTTAAAAGGAAAATAGGTTTTTTTTTTTCCCAAAGAATGTTACCTACACAGTAACAACATGGTAAATGACCTTTAAAGCACTTCAGATGTATTTTTGGTTCAGCTGTGTTACTGTAGAGTTCTTGGTATATTGCCAGTTTAATTATTTTGTTTAGAAAGTCTCTTTTCTCTATTGTTTCAAGAGGGTATTTCACATCCTATCCCTGGAGAGAAAGTTTTCAGGGAAATGTGTTCATAAATAATGGAAATTACCAGGGCCTGTTGTAAAACATGGAAATAGTTTAATCTGGTTCATTTAAAACCATGAGAAGTTAAAAAATGAAGAATCTGCTCCAGCTTTTCTCCTGCAGAAACCCAGAGAAGGCTCACAAGTGAAGTCTGAGAGTCACAAGGGCTCAGGGAGCAGTTACCCAATGAAGTATTTCATTTCAAGGTAAAGCAGAACAGAAGTGACTGAGTCACCACCAGTAAAAGTTCATCTAATCTCGAAGTTAGTTATTTCTGTACATGCATTTCTCTGTTGCATACAATTCTGATGAAGTATTAATTCTTGTCATAGAAACTGATCTGGCCAAACACTTAAAGCCTCATGTTTGCCAGGTCCATGTTTCAAGGTGTCTTTCAGACAAGTTGACTTGATTTTGGAGACAAATAGATATTCAGTATTTTACAGACTGAGACTTTGGGAGATTCCTAAGGCCTGTTATAAGGGGTCAAATAATTTTATTTGTACCTTCCCCAAAATGTGAGCAACTGTCTCATCTCATTGTTCTTTTGCAGGTTTGTTTTCTGGCAGTAGACTGAAAATCCAAATTGAAGAAGCTGCCTTCAGCTCAGGCTGGAGTCAGCCTTGCTGGGCTGAAAGAGCTTCTGGAATGGGGCAAAGAGTCAGCAAGTTGCTGGCAAGCTGCTCAAGAGCAGCAGCTTCTGGGAACGCAGTGTCATCCTCAGTGATTGATGTGACCTCCAGGCAGGAACATAAGGGGGTGTGGGCTGCCCTAAGGCAGGCAAAGCATGGACCAGCCCCTTGTCACAACCGTTTCAGCTCATGATTTTCCTCCCACGGCTGCAGGGTGCTGGAGCTGAGCAGGCAGCCTCATCCCCAGCATGTAAGAGATGCAGTTAAGAGCCTGGAAAGTACACAACTCCTGGGCCAGATGGTTTTGCTTTGCCTCCCACCTGGACCCCTCTGGTACCACTGGAAGGCAGGCTGTTCCCCCAGAGGGGGCTACCAGGTGTCCCTTCAGCCCCAGGCTCTGCCACACTCTGCTGGATCTGAGGGAGGGATCTGGGCTGCTGGACATGGCAATACCCAGAACCAAGGTCTGGGATCCAGTTGCTCATCCAAATCAAAGGGTACCTGTTGAGGCACTCAGAGCTGGGTTAGAAACATGCTGTTAATATGCCAATTCATTACAGTCACTTTACCCCTCAAGCAAACTAAGTCTGAAAAGAGAGACTTTAAGCAGAAGGACAGGCTTAAAGGAATACATGTTGTATCCTGGTAAGAACGTTTTTCACTTCTGATCAGTTTCTGGATCTACCTCAGCATCACTCTGCTGAGACCCAACACTGGGTGCTGGCTCATTCTGCTTTGGCTTGAGCCCTTTTCAGGACTCTGACAATAGTTACACTGTCTTAGGAGAGACCTCAAACTATTTACACCTGTCCATTGTGACAAACTGATGCTTTGAAATACACATTCAATATAGGAAATAAAACTTTAGCCCTTTCAGCACTACTAGAAAAATTTGTGTCCACATTTCAATATTATGTAAGCTGGGGGAAATACGATTCAGTTTCTCAGCTGTTATGTATGTTTCTTCTCTCAGTAAAAACTCAGATCAACGCAGCTAAATACTCAGATTCAAAATACCAAGTACTTTAAATGGGTGAGCTCACCTTTCAGATTCAGAACTTATCCAAATGAGCAGTGTTTGTCAGGAGGAGATGGCTTACCACTATCTCAGCCTTTTGGGGAACACAGTACAAGTCAGTGCCTTGTACGCTTTGCTGGAGACAAACAAGGTGTTTCCCTGGCTGTGTTAGCCCAAGTAGTGTCATTTTCATCCTTTCCAGAGTATGGAATCATCTGAGGCAATCTGGGATTGCAAAGAGAACAAGCTCCTGGCTTAGGAACAATTAGCCAGAGAGATCATATAATACCCCAGTGCACCAGGGCTTTGGGCTCTTTTACATTAACAGTAAGAGCTCCTCATTGCAGGGGCAGTAACTAGAGCTAAAGTAACCCTTGCTAACCTAAGGGCTGGAAGGCATTTGTTGAGCCACTGATTCCACATCCAGGCAGTTTTTCATGTCACCTTTCATAAGCTTATCAAGCTCCAGGAATTTTGGCCAGCTGTTCCTCCCCAGACCCATATTCATTAAAGTGATTGTATTTTTTAATGGCTTCTCCATTATTCAGTCTAAAGTACGGGATGTCTTTCAAACACTAGAGGAAAGACATATTACATGATTTTGAAAACAACTCTGTACATCTTCAGGCACTCTTGAGACAGCAAAGATTTAGATTCCACTAAAACTACAGTGGATGGTGGGATGGTTTTAAGAGATGACAGTTTGGAAGACTGCATAACCCTTTTTGGGTGACAGTTGTGGTATTTATGAACCTATCCAAGCCAAAATGCATTTTCTTTTTTGTCTATCCCAATCTATAATCAATCCCACATGATAGCTCAGTCACCCCGAAGTGGTGTTGCCCAATGTTGTTTGCTCTGAATACTCAGGGGGGCAGAGCAAATAATTTAAACAACAGCAAACACAACTGTCACTTATTTTTAGCAGTATCATCAGGGTCAAATAAGTTCAAAGGTTAAAATACTTGCGTTGTGAAACAAGATCCCTCCAGCTGAGGACTGAAGAATTTTGAGAGAAACACAGTTGCACACTGCAGTGAGGCTCAGAGTGCTTTTTAGTCAAACAGAAAACAACTTTGTAGGGTCAAAAAATCTGTGATGGGCCTTAAGCAGCACTCTGGTACTGATTTGTTAAATCTGTGCTAGGGGTGTTGCACCTTCCCATTTGTTTGTTCAGAGCAAGCAAAAGCTACAAGAAAAAAAACAACACAAGGGAAGAAACATCCTCTTTCCAGCTTATCTCTAATTGCACCGGGTGCCAATCAACTAGTTTCTCTGTGCAAGAACAAATAGTAGAAGGGCGATAGAAGGAACACTGTCTTATCACACATGCAAGTTAACATTCATTATTGCCATATCAAAGTCCAGATTCCATCCTGCATGCTCTGCACACTCAGCACAGATCTGAGTGCACATGTGCCAGCTGGCCTCTGACCTCCTGCATGTTGGGCTTGTTTCAGAGCACGTCTTTTCCCTCTGCAAGCGCTGCAAGGACCAGGATGTCACTGGCCTTCCTTTGATCTCATACAGAGGAAACAGCAGCAACTCCCTGAAGGGGTGTCAGAACAATTCCATTTTGCAGCATGGCCCAGCCATCAAAAGCATCCGTTCCTCCATCAAGAGTACCTTATTGCAGACAGAGCAATGGCTCTGAAGTTATGTTTTGGTTTGAGGCTTGCTGCTTGTTTCAAATCTCAAGGGTGTATAGCTGGTTGTCTATTTTTACCACTTTACTAGTTTAATAACAGCAATTCACTCTACCTACAAGTCTGTTTGCAGCTGTCCTTAGACCACCATTGTCCTAGCATCACTACTGCCAAAGTGTTACATATGCAGCCCAGGAGTCTCATCCCGCACACCAGGAAGCACTAGGCTATCAGTAAGTCAGCACCACTTCCAGACAGCCCAACATCCCCTGCATTTACAGACACTGACCCTGCTGTAAACAACCAGCCCCCCAATCCAGCTCAGTCTTTTTCAACATGCTTTCTCCAGTGGTAGTACCCACACTTAATAGCTGTGCAGGCAACTTTGGTGCTGCTGCTTCTCCTCACCAACACTGTGCACAGACATCAGTACTTCTGTTTCCACCTTAGTGCCTTCTGCACAGTCTCTTACTGTATAGCTCTTACATCCACAACTTGAATTTTCAGCTTACTCCTGAGATGCACAGCTGATTGCCAAAGAGCAGATTCATTGCCAAGAAACAAGCTAAGCAGGAAGACTACTGATGTTACTTTCCCAAGGAAAGCAAAGCTGTAAGCAGGAAGAAGGTGTTACTAGGGTAAAAATAAATTACCCAAATAAAGACATCCAAGGTAGAGATCCCAATCACTTGTACAGACTGGCAAACATCATTATTTGAACAAGGCTAGGTATAAAAGCCTGGCCAAGACCAAGTCCTCCCTGGGATATGCACTGTGTACATAGGGATGTTTTCCTAATGCCAGACAGGTATGAGGAAGATAAGCAGCACTGTAACAGTTAGCTAAAGTCTCATAGGAAAATAAAGCCAAATGAGGTCTAGGATATAGAACCTGACAGAATCCAATTCCACTGCTTTAGGAGTCAAAAATTCTGAAAACACCTGCTTTGACAAAATGTTAGTAAAGTACAGCATGCTCACAGGGCTTCAGCTTCCAGCAAACACAAGCACAAGAGCTACACCCTGCTACAGGAAGGCAGAATGCTCCAAGGATGACCAGCTTCTTAAAACACAGCTATGAAGATGGAGATGGCTGCAGAATTCAGGGTTGGCAAAGAGCTAACAACATTTCTTGTACTAAACATCTGCTCTTATCCCTCTGTAATTAACACAATTTCAAATAACTATGAGAGGAGAGGTAAAAAAGCCAAATGCTTATGTTACTGACATAGAAGAATAAGAAAGAAAAAGAAGGAACAACCTTTTTCCATATGAGAACAGGGAACAAACCCTTTGTCCTAACCCATTTTGAAGGGTGAACAAGTAGCTTCAGGAGCATTTCCCATTAAAAGTAGCAAAGGGGGAAGTTAAAACTTTTGAAACCACGTGAGGTAAAGTTTTCTCCATCTCTCACCAGTGACCTGATAAAATGTAAGTTAGATAATACACACAGCAAAGCCCATGTAACTTAGTACAGAATTACATATTTACCAAGCCAGGTATGTGATGACAGGTTACACCCCTATGTATTTCTGTACATTAATTGCTATCTGAAGACTGTTTATTCAAAGTCCTCACCTGTTCAGATGCTAACCAGTACAGCAGGAGTTAGAATTCCTTATTCCCATATCAGGTTGTGACTTCATTCTCAAATACTCCATACAGGAATAGTCCAATGCCACATTTTAAAAGTACAGTCTGTCTTTCCAGCATCAGCAATTCTAACAGTCTATACTTGGCAGACTAAACCAGGTAAAAGCCAGCTAGAGATGGTCCCAACTACGGCCTTTGTAATAGAATTTTTGCTGTTCACTGCAAGTCTTCCTATTTGAACAGTCTTGTCAATATTAAGCCAGTATTTGCCTTATCTCCAGAAGCATGACATGGCTGGGGAGAAACATAACCAAGAAGCATTCTATGAAAGATGATTTGACAACCATTGACCAAGCTTCTGAAAGCCCCAGGCAACAAATATCAAGCACCTTGCTCTTAGCATACACATCGTTCGACCTAGCCTCGTCACGGTGCTCCTGCTTTTGTGGGTTGCCACGCATCTACAGAAGCCAGGAGGTAAAATAGTATCAGACACCAGCGGGTTGGTTCAGACGCAAGTCCGCGTGGCACAAACACAGATCCCTGAGCCCCCTCTAGTGGCACCAGGACCGGCCTTACCAAGCGGGGACCGACAGCGGCCACACAGTGGGGAAGGTGGGAGCCCAGAATTACCTCCAAGGGATGACCACCACAACAGCCAAATACCAAATGCACTTTAATGAGTTCCAGATTTTGTTCCCAGAAGGAATTTATAACGTGTCAGTACATTAGGCGAGTACACAGCTTCTCCCAAACTAAAGGCATGAGGAGAACTGACTATCATATAGTAGGCATTAAAAATTACTCTTCGCAACCAGTTTTCAACAGTATTAGAAATAAGGCATATTTCAGGTGTGCAAATGGCTGCTACAGCCAGTCCTCAGATGCCATATTTGCTCTTTAGTTCTTCAACTTTTGCTATGTAAGCTTTCATTGCATCTTCTTTGGACATTCCTGAAAAACAGAACACAGGAAGCAGTCAGATACCTCCTGCAGATGATGACACCTTTTGCATGGAAGTCACAGTCCCTTGCAAGCTACAGCACACAGCAGCACACTACCCCAGAGCAAAGGAGCCAAAGAAGGTCACCTGGCTGTGAACAGAGCATTAAAGCTTTGAACAAATGCATTCAGCAGTCATGGGACAAGAGAGTTCTGAAGCAAAGTTACACTAGTATAAACAGCAACTAAACACTGTCTTAGCTCTATTAATGCTGCTCACCATTATCACAGGAAAGCTTTCAAACGACTTAGACTGCACTTAGATGTTGTTCTAACATCCTTAAAGCACCAGAAAAATTAAATTGGCATAGATTAGACCACTTGTGTGACTCCTCGTTTAAAGCAGAGAGCCCAGTTGCATCTTCCAGCTAGGAAAGCTTTAGAAGGAACACAACGACTGGAGGGAAAGTTCAATCTCTGGAGTACTAGGCTGGGGCCTGGAAAAGAGAAATTGAGGTTTCTGCCGCTGCTACAAATCTCCTTTCTGCAACAACTTAAGCCAGCTGAGCATTTTGCACCTTAATTCCCTTTCACACAAGCTACATTCTTCAGGTTTCCTTATGCCTTGCAGAGGTAATGAAAAGTAAGAATTATCACGGCATTCTGAACTCCTAGAACTCTTGTCTTAAAAGGCAACACTAGGCAACAATCTTTCTTGCTGAACCACGTATGATTTCCTGACTAGTTTGCCTGTGGTTTTATTATTTTTAAAGCAGATCCTTACCTTTCAGTGCATTCCAGGCATCCCACTTTGCTTTGCCTTTGAAGTCCAGCATGCCAGGGCGGTCTGAGGGAGACAGGATAAGCAGCAGAATTAGTTTCTGTAGTCTGGTTGCCATTAATACCTACCTTCTCCTCAGGGCTATTTAGCTGGTAAGATACAATGTTACTTACAAAGCTGTAGCCAGGGGAGCACTTCAAGGGAACACCTTGGAATGCTACTGGTGGCAACAGATATTCTCCCAAGTTGCCTTAAGACAAAAGCATAATTTCAGCAGAAGAGCACCACGTAGTGCTACTGGTTTTATCACGCTTTCTGAAGAGACTGCAGTCACATGGCAGCTGTCCAACTAAAGCACAGCAGCTCTAAAATAAAGCAGAAGTGCCCCAAGGTCCATTACAAACGAAGCCCCGAAAACAACTGCTAGTAGTGTACAGCTTAGAACTCATTGTCATAAAATTAATGGCATGTTTCTAACATGCAGCTCTTCATTTGTTCTGCCAGCTAGGGGGATGAGCTCTGACTTCTAACTCACTTCATTGCAGGCTATGTTGTGGCCAGAGAAGGAGTTAATGAGATATGGGTGTATTATATGGTTATGCTTCATGTAGAGTCCCCTCCGGGTTTTTACTTCCTCCTAGGAAGACAATGCTTTGGATTAGCAAATGGAACTAGACAGTAGCCTGTAAATGAGCCAAAGAAATACCCTTGTTGCTCACATGGCAACATGAGCTGCAGAGCTAGCTGGCACTTCCACCCAACACAAAGCCCTATTAGCTCACTCTTAAATGAATTGCTTTTCTAGCCAGCTACTGCTCTGAATGAATGCAGCAACTTACAGAAACGTTGGTCTATTAACAGCTAAACAGCACTATTTCACCTTGGTAAACAGTAATAAAGCCAAGGTCCAGCCACACCAAAAGGACTGTAACTTAAAGCCAAAGTCAGTTCTTGGGAAGAAGAGACTGCAAATGACCATACTTAACATTACCTGTACATTTCACAGCCAACTGGGAATTCAAGCAACACCATACAAGTGTCATTAGCAACTGGGTCAGGAAGCCAGTGCTCGAAACAACTGACCTTTTTCCTTTCTAATTCCAGTTACTCAAGTGTTACACAAGGTCAAAGACATGCTTCATTTTAAGTGTTACTCCTAGGCTAAGCTGCCAGTGACAGAAGTGTAGGTAAAGAAGTAGCAGGAGAGATTTTGCATAATGTACCTGCAGAGATATTCCTGCTACAGTCCTTCCAACATTTGGTATTTAACTATAGCTCCTATAAAAGTTTTGTCCTGTTCCTTTTAGCTTTCCAATATTATTTTTAGCAGCCAATCTGGTTCAAAGAAACTGCCCCCCCTCCCAAGTATTGCAATTCCACACCAGTATAGTTTTGTCTTGCTGTTAAAGCCAGTTTGAGAAGTGTTTGTATTAAAGCAACATCCCTTGACCTAGGCAGCTACTTACTGATAGAGGTCTCAAAAAACCCCAAACCTAACATTTGCACAAAGCTAACATGAAGGATTCTCAGGCTGTTGCTACAAGTGATTTAGGCAGCTACAGCTGGGTTAACCTAAAACCCACAAGTTGCACAAGCCCTTATCAGGCCAGCTTATGCCTGCCCGCACATCAACCCATGCCAAGTGGGTACTGAGCCGTTTTTTGCAAGATTGCAGGAAGCGAGACACGCAATAGGGGAGAGGTTTTGCCTTCCCAAGTGCCTCCAGCCCCAGCCTGAGGCCGCAACTGCATCGTCCCCGCCCGCCGGGGCCCTGGCACGGGGGTGCGGGGCCTGAGGGGCCTGAAGGGCCCTGGCACGGGGGTGCGGGGCCTGAGGGGCCTGAAGGGCCCTGGCACGGGGGTGCGGGGCCTGAGGGGCCTGAAGGGCCCTGGCACGGGGGTGCGGGGCCTGAGGGGCCTGAAGGGCCCTGGCACGGGGGTGCGGGGCCTGAGGGGCCTGAAGGGCCCTGGCACGGGGGTGCGGGGCCTGAGGGGCCTGAAGGGCCCTGGCACGGGGGTGCGGGGCCTGAGGGGCCTGAAGGGCCCTGGCACGGGGGTGCGGGGCCTGAGGGGCCTGAAGGGCCCTGGCACGGGGGTGCGGGGCCTGAGGGGCCTGAAGGGCCCTGGCACGGGGGTGCGGGGCCTGAGGGGCCTGAAGGGCCCTGGCACGGGGGTGCGGGGCCTGAGGGGCCTGAAGGGCCCTGGCACGGGGGTGCGGGGCCTGAGGGGCCTGAAGGGCCCTGGCACGGGGGTGCGGGGCCTGAGGGGCCTGAAGGGCCCTGGCACGGGGGTGCGGGGCCTGAGGGGCCTGAAGGGCCCTGGCACGGGGGTGCGGGGCCTGAGGGGCCTGAAGGGCCCTGGCACGGGGGTGCGGGGCCTGAGGGGCCTGAAGGGCCCTGGCACGGGGGTGCGGGGCCTGAGGGGCCTGAAGGGCCCTGGCACGGGGGTGCGGGGCCTGAGGGGCCTGAAGGGCCCTGGCACGGGGGTGCGGGGCCTGAGGGGCCTGAAGGGCCCTGGCACGGGGGTGCGGGGCCTGAGGGGCCTGAAGGGCCCTGGCACGGGGGTGCGGGGCCTGAGGGGCCTGAAGGGCCCTGGCACGGGGGTGCGGGGCCTGAGGGGCCTGAAGGGCCCTGGCACGGGGGTGCGGGGCCTGAGGGGCCTGAAGGGCCCTGGCACGGGGGTGCGGGGCCTGAGGGGCCTGAAGGGCCCTGGCACGGGGGTGCGGGGCCTGAGGGGCCTGAAGGGCCCTGGCACGGGGGTGCGGGGCCTGAGGGGCCTGAGGTAGGATCAGCCGGCGGGGAACGGGACATCGGGCCGTGTCCCGGTGTGTGCGCTGCCCGGGCTGGGTCCCTGCAGGGCCCTGTGGCAGCAGGAGGTGAGCGGGGTCCTTGCCCCTTTGCTTCACCCCCCGCTGTGTCCTCCGGCCCGTCAGGAAAGCAGCTGTGGGACTCTTAAATGAAACGGGCAAAAATGCCGCACAAGCAGCACGCCCGCTGTCCCCCCCTTCCAGCAAAGGGATAAAGAGGTCAGAGAAGGCCCCGTGGGACTCGAAGGGGTGGCTGAAGCGGCTGCTGAGGGGCAGGAGGTGCCGAGGTTGTGCTCTGCCCCGGCTGGTGTGCTGGCCCCTGCTCGCGGCTGCAGCAGCTGTGGCAGTTCAATGTGTGACCAGAAAGCAAGGTTGTTGAGGAACAACCGGCACTGAGAACAGAGAGGATTGCCGAGGAAGGAAACAGCTCGTTTTCCTGTGAAGAGGAGGAACCCAACAGAACAACACAGGGACTTGTTTGAAGAGGGGCTGGGGTTGATAAGGCAGTTCCAGTGTGGGTTCTGCTCTCTGATAAAGCAGTATAAACCCTGTAGAGCCCTTCTAGAGACCTACTATTGTAACTTAAATCCCTTAATTATGTAGCAGTATACCAAGAGAATTATTTGCTGTATGTGGGGGAGGTTCTTCTTCTTCCTGTAGGAGGACTGTGTAGGAGCTTAGGCATTTTCCAGAGTATTATGCTCTCTACAATGTAAGTATATTAGAAAGGTTTCACTTCTGTTCACATTAGTACCTGCTTTTAAAGCACAATGTTACTCCCTCAGCAGGTAAAGTTTTCAGGTGCTTGAAACCCCAAAGATGTACTTGCATCTGTCCATACTGTTTTTGTGTGTTTAGCAGGGAGTCTGCTGCTGTGTTACACAACACAGGTACAAATGCTGGAATATTTGGGGTGTGGTATGAATAATCTCCTATGTAATCATGTTTGTTTTGAGATCTTACTATTGTTTCTGCATAAATGCTAAAAGGGAAGTCCTGAAAGACATGAAGCTATTGAATTTCTTGCTGTGTTTTAGTCTTTGAATGAGGCCTCCCTGCCCTTTGTTTTCTCACTGTGTTGGTACACAGAGGAGAGGCAATAATTCCTCTCTGTGATGTTTCCCAGGTTATTCAGAATCAATTCTCATGTCAGCAGAAAGCTCAACAGTCACGGTTCGTCTTGTCCGCTCCTTTGAACACCGGAACTTCAGACCCGTGGTGTATCATGGAGTTAACTTGGATCAGACAGTCAAGCAGTTCATCACTTTTGTGCAGAAGGGTGAGGGTCCGTTGTCTTAGTCGTTTGCTTCAGTCCCTTGTATTGCTGTCCCTGCACAAGAAAGTGGGGGGGAGCAAGTAAATGGGAATTCTGTGGCTTGGGCCGAGATGCCTGATTTGTGTTTCCATCCCTGTTCTTCTCCCTTGGATGAGAGGCCTGGAGTTAATAAGAGCTTCCATAGTCAGTATGCCATGCCAAAATTGGTATAGACTGCTCCCCCAGCCCAAATCCCCATCTCTGGTTAAAAAGAAAGGGCATTGCTGCATTTGGCTTTGTGCCTTAGGCTCTTCGAGTGGTGCTGTCAGGCAGCTATTCAAAAATTAATAGAATTAAACTGAAAGAATTCAGAGAGCCTTTGATCCTCAGGAACTACACCAGTATGTGGAATGTGGGAATGCAAGTCGTGTTTGCGGTTTCTGAGAAGAGAGGATCTTAAAAAATTGGTTTTGACACCAGGAGCTCCCACTGTGCATGGTTGCTTCTGGGTTTCTGTCTCCATCTTGAGCTTTGTGGTGCAGATTTACTCATCTATGGGCTTGATGGTTGAAAGCCTGGTTGAAAGCGACAGTGTATCTGAAAGTTAATTAATGTAGACCATCCTACGCAGCGACTTGGTTGTTAGGGTGTTACCCTGATCTCACAGGTGTATTTCTACACACTGCACTGGAGACATTCAAAGGGTGCAGAGTAACTGCATTTCTTTTTGCATGAAGTCAGCTTGAACAAGTCTTGAGCTGTTACAGCTGATAACATTTGAGCAAGTCCTAGAATGTTGCCCTGGGCCTCACAGCTGTATTGTGTTTCCAGGCCTCCAGACAGTGATAGGCATGGCAAGATCTTGGGATGCTTTTGGAAATCTACAAGCACTTTCAGAACATATGGTACAGCTGCAGTTACAAAGCATAAAATAAAAAAGCAGTGCTAAGAAACTTGCTTTTGATGTGTGCAGTATTGCAGCTTGCTGTTATTTGAGACAAAGCTAGTGTCTTGAGCAAGACTTTGTGGAACCCCCTTCCACAGATGGATGGTTAGTGGTCCAAAAGGAGCCATATTACTTCCTTTAATCTGTTTTGAAGGTCAGGTTTGAGATACTGTTTATTGGTGAAATTATGGTTTCAACCACCTTGCTGCCAAGCACCCCACAAGTGGCTGGGCCTTCCAAGGCCCTGGTTAAATCCCTGGGTGTCACTGGGGACACTGGTGCCAGGGAAGGTATTTTTGTTCTTGCAGTTGCCTATGGGATGTGTCCTCCGTGTGGCTAAAGAGGTTAAACTGGAAAAGGTTGCCCAGAGAGGGGATAGATGCCCTATCACTGGAAACATTCAAGGTCAGGTTGGACAGAGCTCTGAGCAACGTGGTCTAGTTGAAGACCCTAGTTGAAGATGTCCCTGCTCACTGTAGGGGGTCGGACTAGATGACCTTTAAAGGTCCCTTCCAACCCTAACCATTCTATGGTTCTAAATAGTTAATTTTCTACAGTTTGAGCTGGTTGGCATGGCTGTGTTCAGTGAACAGGTCAGTTATGAGTGACAGTTGTCAGCTGTTTGTATAAGATAGAGAGAGATGCTGTGCAAACCATTAACAGGATGTTGCTGGCAGATTTCTGAAGGCTCAGACTCCTGTGATCATATCCTAGTTGCATTCATGCACTCTCCTCATGGGTCCTTTTGTTCAGAGGGACTTCATGCTCCAGTGAAGTTAATCAGATAACAGAGTAAATACAGAATCTGAGCCCAAAGGTTGTGTTTTAGTATTTAATGCTCAAACAAATCTCCTGTATTGTGGGTTTATTTTCATGTAAAAGATGTCCAAGGTACATGCACAAAATAATGGAAAGTAAAAAAATGGAAATACATAAAAAATCCACAAAACTTTGTTTTAACATGGTGCCTTTATTTTAATAGATGTGCCTTCAAGAACAGGACTTCCTCCTCCTTTCAGGAATTACAAGTATGGTATGTGGTTTTTTTCTTGTTTTAATTCCTGTAAGATGCAGACATAATGTTTTATGCCAGTTTCTATATAATTTAGAAGACAACTGCTGTAGAATACTCATGCTGGTGACTGTGCCTGCCCAAATTTTCTTGAACACTTTTAAATATGCTTTAAAAAGAAAGAGCCTGGTGTGACATTTAGAATGATTTTACCCTCTCATGTAAAGCTGTGTTTATATTTCCTTTTTGTGAAGACTGGCATGAACATGTGCAATTCATCTGTTTGGGATAGAATATAATTTCAAAATAGAATAAATAACAAACTCCAGGAAAGGAAGTGAATTTGGATGTCAGTAACATATCTTTTCCTAAACTTGGCAATTCTGAAAATTCCCTTGGAATTTTGCTGCAAGTGATCCTCTGTCTCTCATTTCTTGGAGTTGACAAACTCCTTCCTCTACAGTGATTCAAAGAATTGAATGAGGAATCTATTTAATAGATTCATACCATATGAATGGTAATAAAGTCTTTGCCTATTAAAAAAAAAAAAAGCCAAGCATTTCACTCTGTGTTCTTGCTGATGATGAAACAGATTGTGCAGAATGAAAGCAGAAAAAAAAATTAGGGATTAAGATTTACAGTGATAAAGACTGAAACATAACAATTTTAAAAAAATGTATTGGTTAAGCTGTTAACAGTTACCTAACTTACATGCCCTTCCCCCTAATATCTAGGTGAGGGCCTCCTGTAGAGGATGGCTGCTGCCAGCTGTGTTCCTGGACATGCCTGTCCCTGCTGCTAGTTCTTTCATCATTGAGAGCATCGGTGTATTCTTTTTCCAAGGCAAATGTGGCTGAGCACCTGATTGTGCTGTGTAGGACTGAGCCTAGCGTGGGCGAAAAACACTTTGGAGCTTTATTAAAACCTGTTAGACCAGTTAAGTGGGGGCCTAATGTTAGTGGGATGGTGCAAGCTATATGGAAATTTTCACAGGGAAAAATGCAAGTCCCTCACCTTCCCCCTTCTGCTGTGAATCATCCAGGTTCAGGTTCTTGGCACCTCTTGTGTGCTCTGCTGTCTTTCCTGTATTTTATTGATGAAAGGACACTGAGACTTCTTACTGAGAATCAGATTTTTCCTTCTGCTTTGTTTGCCAGTGCCAGAACTCTCAGTTGGACCTGGCTGTCTCTCACATTGCTCCTGTTTCAGCTTCCTCCTCTGCAGAGCCCAGCACCACTGTGGTCTCTCAACATCATATGTGATACCATTACACTTATCTTTTTGGCTCGGTGCTTTAACTTGCATCTCAAAGCTTTATGACTTTCATTTTCTCTTAATTTCTTTGTACACATCATTCTTGTCCTTGGTAGAGAACTCTTTTCAACCAATCTTCTCATCTTTCTACCCTGTCATTGCCACCTTTTCACTGATGATGACAGCCTGGGTGCCAACTTGTCTCATAAGCTCCTTCTCTTTTTTTTCCATGCATGTGGAGCAATGTGATAGATGCTTCACAGAATCAGACTTAGAAAGTGATTTCTTGCCTGTTGCCACAAGAAGTTCCATTATCACAAAAGGAAAGGTAAAAATCTGGGAATATGTTGAAGTGGGACTGAAGTGGGATGAAATAGGAATGGTAATTGAGAGGACATAAGGCTTTTTTTCTTAGCCTATGTGAACAGGCTGTAGTTTTGTCCATGTAACAGTTAGGGAAGCCATTTAATAGCTCAGATAAGGACATGGTGAACTGCTGGATGCCAGTGGTGGAGCCAGCGGAAGTAAAATGGAGACAATAGTTCAGAGAATGACTGGGCAAAGAGTAGGAAAAAGGGGATGTGACCAAGTAGGTGGAGAAGCTTAAAACTGACAGGCAGAGGCAGGACTGTATTTGTTGTGGTAGAAAGGTTTTGTGATTGCAATATGGTTTTGCTGTGGTTGCTCGGTCTTTTTGCACTGCTTGTGTGGAAGATGGATGTGGGAACTGCAATTTCACATGTGTCTTGCTTCTAATGCTGCAGTTATTACAGCATGCTAAGACTGCCTTTTCACTGACCTCTGTGGGAATACAGAGTGGTTTTAGCCTTCTGTAATGTTTTAAATAAAATGTTCAGAATGGGCCAGAGTGGTATGGAAGCAAGTTTCTGAATAGGAAAGTGATCTCTGTTCTTCTGAATACCTGAATACTTGCTTTTGATAGTTTGAAAGTTGTTTTAGCCTATATTTAACTTCCTTGTATCCTTCTCTTACTAGACTACTTCAACGTGTAGTGTTCAGTTAATGCCCAAAAGCAAAGCAAGGCAGAAAAGAGTAGGCAAACGGAAGTGGGTTTTGCTTTTTTTGCTGGGATTGATGCATTAATCTGAATTTGCCCAAACACACAACCTTTGGAATTTGATGTTGTTGGTTTTGAACATTTTTTTGTTTGCTTGTTGTTACTTTTTTCTTTCTTTTGTTTTGGTTTTTAGCATGGCCATCCTCTGACTTCCAGTCCTTCTGGGTCTTTGCACTCATCTGGTTGCTTTAGTTACCACATTATTTACACCAGTTTTCCCCTTCTGATAACAAAGCCCTGTGCCACATTGCCAGAGGAAAGAAGTATTTCTTCTTTTGTATAGCATAATTTGTTAAAGTGCTACACAGCACAAACATATCAGAGATAAATATTACTGAAGGTGGTGCAGCATTAAAAAGAGGGGGGGCTGTATGTGTTAATGGAAAATGGACTTGCTGAACAAAATTTTGGCATGGGTGCTCCTTTCATGAGAAGGAAAATTTCAAGGAATGGTCTGAAGTGCTCAGGTTACTGTGTGTTTATCACTCACTGCCTATCAACTTAACTGTAGTAGTTGACAGTGCATAAATGCTGTTTGTCCTTCCCCAGCTGCATGTGTGAAATCTGTTAGGTTAAAACACCCTCACTGGCATTTGAATTGATGTGTTTTGACTGGCAATGGGGATGGTCATTTATGAGTTACTGTCATTCAGGAAGCAGACAGAAGCCCAATAGGATGTGGTACCTTACTGTTGGAATGACTGGTTTAAGACTGTAGCTGCAGGACTGGGAAGTTACAATGTTTTCTCCTCTTCTGGACTGAAGACACAAAGTTGTTAATAGACGATTTTGAACCTTACCCCTTTCTTTGTCTCCTCTTCCCAAGATACAGCTTTCAGTGTTACCTGCCTATTCAGTCTTATTTTAGGAAAACATTGTGTTTTCTTTCAGATACCATGAAGATCATTCACCAAGCACACAAATCTAAGGTATGATTATTAGTTGTATTCATCCCCTCTTACATGCTTTAATGCAGGCAGATCTCTGCACTTCCAAGCAAGGCTGGGGCAGAATCAGTCAGTAAATCCTTACCTCTTATCTTTCTATTCTGGTTCTCTGATTTGTAGACTGGTGAACTTGTAGTGAGTTTGGAAGATGATGAGAAACTGATTTTGAAGGAAGACAGTACACTGAAAGCAGCTGGAGTAGGTAGGAGCACATTTATATTGACTGAAGGTGCTGTTCATTGTGGTTGTCATTAAACTGATAACTGGCTGATTATGTTTGGATAGCCTGCTGAAAAGTAAATGCTATTCCTGATGCTCTTTACACTACTCGATAATTATTCAGGGAAGAAGGGGGGATAATGTGCATTCAAATCATTGGACTGAGGGCAGCAGGTATCTGCACTCCAAATATTCAGAATGCAAATTGTGATTTTTAGAGGGTATGCTTATAATTCTACTGAGAGTAATTTTAAATGATTGACAGATAGGTTATTAGTACCATGTCTGCTTAGTCTTATCAGTAACATTTAAACTGATGTTTTGGTTAGAAATGTAAGTAGTGGAACCAGCGTGGAATAATGAAATAAGATTAGATTTGTTTAATGTGCAGCACAGAGTGCCTGATAGCCAGTTTGCTCAGGAAAGCTCCAGCAGTATCATTTAGAGAATGTGCTGAAGATAGCAAAGACTTGAAACTTGACCTGATTTCTCACATTTTGACAGGGGACTACATATAGGGCATGTCTTTTGGTGATAATGTAAAGAAATGTCTGTCATGATAAAATTGATGGTCCCTGGCTGTCCTTTGGGCTTCTCATAAATGTGGCTGAATGACTTTGTGGCAGCAGGGTACTTAAGGGATGTAGTTTCATTCCACCTTGATATGGACATTTGCTCATTTGAATCTGATTTGCCTAGCTGGAGTGCATAACTGCCTGGCTCTAAGTGCAGGGGTGTCACAGAGAAAGCTCCCTCCTGCTCCTCATGCCCTCTGATTGCTCCCCAGCTAGTGAATGGGAATTCTTTCTCCTTGGTTTCTCGGCCCTTTTGTTTCTTGCCATTTACTTTCTGATTTTAAGTGATTTGGGATGTCTCTTTGATGTTTTTCTCTGTGGTACACTGCAAGTGGCTTCAGTGTGCCTTTCCTAAAGGTTTTTGGGTGTTCCTATAATATTAATTGATAGTTATTCTCTGGCTGTTTGTACCAAATTGGGTCTTCTTATCTGGAGGAAAAAAAAAAAAGATACCTGAGGAAGGAGGATTACCAGCACTGAATTCTTACAGGGTTGTAATTTAGTTAGCAGAAGATGCATCTAAGCATTATTTTTACCTGCCTAAGGCATAAGATACAACACAGTTCAGGAGAGGGACTGGTGACAGTGCCAGATGCTGGATTAGAAATTAGATTGCCCATAGCTGCCTTCTTTCAAAAAGGTATTGATAAATACTGGTATTTATTATCCATCTTTGAAACTAAGTGTGTAGCTCCAGCAGTGTAATACTTAGATGTGATCTCAAAAAAGATGTCAAAATATCAGAGTAAATGTTATAGTGAAAGAAAATTGGAATAGACCAGCCTGTTTTCTGTCTCTGTACAAAGAGAGGGGTGGCTTATTCAGGGCAGAAAACAATTTAAAGCTGCTTTAAATTTCTTTTTTCAGAATAACAGCATATAGTCATTAGTATGTAGTGAGTATTTGTGATAGAAAAGAAAACCTCTTGCTTTGTAAAATGCAGCCTGCCATTATGCCATTTTGATTTTTGATATGGATCATTTTGATGGCTATCAGTGTATCTTGAGATGAAAATTAGCTAAGTTAGGAGTGGGGGTCTTTGTAGTAAAATTTTGAAGATTTTACTTCTTCAACAAGAAACGGGAAAGTATAAACCAAGGAAGTGAAGTATGACAGCATATGCCACTAGTCCTCATTTTGTCAAATTTCATTTAAATCAGTAAGAAGATTTGAAATCTCCTATTGACATGTTACATTTTTCCAATATCTAGTCTGGACAAGATTTACTAGAATAAACCAGAGAATTTCTGTAAGAAAATGTGTGAAATTCTGAGACACACAGAACACTTTTTCTAAGCTGCAGTTCATTGCCCTTGGCACTTTACAGGGTTGGGTAGAGAGTTATAAATTATGAGGCCATTAGATAAGTATCCTCGGGAAAGCCTCTGTGGTAGTGATTATTATTACAGTTATTATCTAGTCAGCAAAGTTAATGTTTGCCTATTTTGTGGGTTTTTTTTGTAAAGCAGAGTGTATATTAATAAAATATTCAGTGCTCGTTGCAAAGTCTTGTCTGTTTTCTAGTTGAGATTCTAAAACACCTTCTGCCTTTTTTTTTTTTCAAGACAGGCAGGACTTCATTAACTTCAGGTTTAATTTAAAAAACGAATGTGGAACTTATTGGCTCAGCACCTTAAAGAATTCCATGTTTAATAATTGTGAAGGCTTTCCATCAGATTTGTCTCTGTTCTGAATTAGTAATGTTGCTGACTTATTGTTTTAGAAGAGGAAGTCCTTGACCTACTGGGTTGCAAGAATTGTGACTGCTCTGAACCTTTGTGGGTCCTTTAGCTCTGCCATATCCCCTGTGAATAATTAGAGGTATTTGAAGGTATTGCTGGAGAAGCCAATTTGTGTCTTTCACTTTGCATATTGTTGAAGCCTCATGAATTAACCATCAGCAGGGCAAAAAAATTAACTTCTTCAGACACATATTTTGATGGGTCATGAGGGAGAATGTAAAGTGATCTGTAAAATATTCTACTGATCCTCTAAGTATTAACTGATTATACCTACAGGCAAATTTAATGGAAAAAAATAGATTCTTTTTCCCTTCCCTAACAGAAAAATGCACTCAAAAAAAAAGAAGATAAAAATCATGCTTCATTATTTTTCTAGCATTTGAGGGTGATAGAAATGCAATCACTTAATTTGCTGAATGCTTATACAAACAATTCTGAAGGCTGTGTTAAATCTTGTGGGCTCTTGTGTACATATTGACTTCTATATATTCAGGATCCTGGTTTTTGGTATGGTGTTTCTTTTTTATTTTGGGGTTTTTTTGGTTTGGTTTTTTTTTTGTGAACAAGGTTGAATGAGGTCTTTAATACTGGAATCTTTTTTGCAAAAAACGTGAAGCGAGGGACAGGGAGTGTGTGTTGATTTATAATTGTCTTCCACCAAAAACTTGCCAGATGTCTTCTAAGATTCTAAATAGCTGCCTGTTGGGTGGTTCATTTACTGCTATGCTAAATATTGATTTTTTTATTCATTCTAGCAAATGAGACTGAATTAGCATTCTTCTGTGAGGAAGATTACAGAAACTACAAAGCTAATCCTGTTTCTGCCTGGTGAAGATCCCAAGAGATTGTTTTGTTTTCCCATACCTCTTGTAAATTTTCCTTATTCTGCTTAATGAGATTTTTCTTAAAGATCAATAAATCCTAGAGGATTGCTTTGCAAACAGTGTGGTTTCCTTCCTATAGAAATTAGCTTCCATCAATATGCTAAGACTGAGATGATGGAAAACTGGGGACCATAAGTGACCTTTTTCTTTCTCCCATTTCTTTTTGCTTTGCTTGCCTCTTAGGATGCAGGCAGTGTAATGTGACCTGTGACACATGTTCTTGGTGTGACCCTACAGCAGACATTAGCTGCACATGGAGATTATAGAATGCACAGGGACATGCCATCACAGCACTAACTTCTGATGAAAATAGAAACACTTCATGACCAAATCACTGGGTATTTCTTAGAGTGCTGGAGAAGAGAATCTCTCTGTTTCAAGGCATAGCTTCTCACATTTTATGTTTGGTCTCTTTTGTAAATGTGCAAACTGGCAAGTGTTTCATACTCTACACTAGTGAATGCTTCCTTTATACTCACTTCCAGCCCTCTTTAGCATGCTGAAAGGGGCAAAGACTGTTGGAAGGCTTTTGTGTTCCAGGACCAGCTCTCCTGTTTCTTGCTTTACTTCATGGAGACACCTTCATGTGAGAGTTAGCAGCCTGAATTCTGCCAGGACATCAGTGTGCCTATGTAGGAATTGGGCATTTTTCCAAATGTAGTGAAGGCTCATGGTTTCAGTTGTGAGAATAAAGCCTAAATGATTTTTTTGTGAGGAGAGGCCCAGTCTGTGAGCCACATGTCTTCAAGATTGGAATTGATTTTTATTTCCAAGAGCTGAATACTCTCTTGCTGTATGTTAGTTTTTGGTAGTTCCTGGCTTTCCTACTATATTAACCAAATTAAGAATAAGAAAAAATAATCACACATCCAATAAAGTACCTTGAGATAGATACTGTTTAAGAAACTGCTTTTTAGGGGGTACCAAGAGGGACACTGCCTTTAAACCCGTCTTCACTGAAATGGAAGCTATGCTGGCTCTCTGCCTTAGCCTGCTTTTGGGGCATAGGCTCTGCTAAATCAAATGGGACCTCATGTGCAATTGCTTCAGACCCATGCATTTACCCTCAACTCTGGGTGACAGCTGACAGCACCATTTCCACAAGAGACTTTCCAGAGAAATAAGCTTACTGTTTCCTAGAGCTTTGATGATTTTTTTATATTGACATGTGATAGTGAAAGCAGATGTGTGATTTCCAAAGTATCTAAATAAAAGTTCTCTTTACTTTAGATGTAGGGCCAAAGATTGTTCCCACCTCATTTTCTTCATCCTTCCTGACAACTCTCTGGTTTACACTGGTTTTGGTAGCTGGTGTTACTCACCAACAGCTTCACTTCAAACAGAGTTCTATTGTCTTGTGAGAGTAGTCTGCCACTTTGTCATCTGTGATTAAAAGGGTAATTGTGTCTTTATCTTGTAAAGAAGAGTCCTGTTGCCCTTGAATTCACCTGTGTTTGTTCTCTTGGGATTTAGGTGCCTGTATGTATGCTCTGATGAATTAGTGGGGAGAATTTATCATTTGCCTCCTCTTCCTGTCTAGGCCACCTTTCTGTTGCTGGTACCTGCTCCCCAGACATGGACCCATATCTCAGCTACCTTCTTACACAGTCATATTTGCAGGTTAATCTAGCTAGTAGGAGTTTGTGCTCATCCTCTCAGACAGTTTAAGCTAATGCATTGCACTCTAGAGTATACCAGCTGTGTTCAGCCAAATTTGCAATAATGAAGGTAACTTTGTAAGAAGTAGATGACATACCAAAGAGATCAATGTCTCAGACTGGCCTCCCAAGGCATCTAGATAATGTCTGTCAGCATACTCGGACTCTCAGACTGAGCAAACACTGTCATTCTTTTCCTCCTGTTCTGTGGATTTGAATTTGGTCTCTGGCCCTTAGAGATATATTTGGATTGGTTTTATGATCCCTTTTCTGTAAGCCATTTGTGTTTGAAAGAGTCACCAAAATGTAACTGTCCTTTCTGGGCTAGTACAGTTACAAACAGTCAGTGCCACGTTGAGTGTGGCACAGTGAAAGAGCAATTCTTACAGCATTGAGGAGAAAATGAGAAATGCTTTAATGCAAATATTCAAGAACTATGTGAGCGGAACTCCAGATTAGCTTCTCTTTCCAAGGGAAGAGTTAAACTGCTGCTTTGTGAGCTCAGTTAGCTCTGGCAGTGGCACTTCCTTGGCTCCTTTCTGCAGCAGCACAGTAGAGCCTTTTGTAATGTTCTCAATGGCCATACTTGTAAATTGGATTCTTCCTCAAGTGTTTTTCTAATGTGTTGTGGTTTCTTTATTTGGACCTTTAATAATGCTTCATACAAATAAATCCCACAACAACTGTAGATAATAACAGAGAACTTTTTTAAGATAGATGCTGTTCCAACAATTTTCAGTGGGCTATGGTACAGCTGAGCATCAAAGTGGGTTTGATTCCAGGATTGTTGAGTACTGAATGAAATCTGTGAACACTGGCTAATAAATTACAAAAGACTGAGGTGTCTGGTAACTCATATAGCTTTGCTAGTGTTTTTAGACATCATGGGGCTAATAAGGATTAAGCTTTCAGTATGAAGTCCTTGGAGTCTTTAACCAGCCTCTTTTTTTAAAATAAAAGGACAGCATCCAGAGTGGCTGCTGAAGTAAGATACAACTTCTGTGTTACAGCACTGTAGCAGGGAAGGGCAGTCAAACTGGAAGCCAGAGGTGACTGGGAGGCTTGAATGTTTCTTAGAGAAAAACACTTCAGAGAGTCTGGAATTTTGGTTGGGAGTTGTGGGAGAATAGCTACTAAAGAAAAAGAGAGGAAATTGGGAAAGGAATTATGGAAGAAAAGGTAACAATATAACTGAATAAACATCAAAGATCTTGCATCCAGCACTCTTGGCACAGAAGTACTGAAGCAGTTCTGCTTTTTACAGCACTAAAGGTATGAAAATGGTGCAAAAAATGGTCCATTCCAATATTTTTTTTTAATTGAACTTATAAACTGATGGAATAGGCATCTTTTTTTTTTTTTAATTCTGCCTTGCCACATTATACTTCATGCAGCATTTTTTGTGTATTTTTCTGTCTAGAGGTAATTATGTTTCCTCTTGGAGAAGCAAGAGCTAAGAAAACTGCTGACATGCATAATAAAGTTTAACGTTGACACCAACAGCATGAAGGAGTCCTCAAAGATCTGATATGCTCTTTTGGGAACTGCTTTATCTGATGTAAACATTCTGTCTTAAGGTTGATCCAGAGATAAGTTGCAATCTGTGGTGTTTCTCTTGCATTCTCTGGGAGTACTCAGCACATGTACTTAAAAAACGTGCTTACAAGTAACAGTCCAAGAGTTACCACAGCCACGAGAGGCCATCTGTGGGTCCTGTCCTTGGAATCTAATAGCCACAGAAGTCCTGAGTGTCCAGAGATCAGGATGATCCAGAACATGCGAGACTTGTTCTTGGTTTCTTATGACTGATAGGATCCTGACTTCAGACATCACAAATGCTTCAGCCAAGTACACACTTTTGCTTATTGAACAGTTTGGACTAAGCTCAGTTTTGCTGGTAGGAACCTGAACCTCCTTCCATGGCTTTCTTTTTGTAGTACTACTTGGCACAGATTTGCAAATGATTAATGAATCAAGCAACGATGCCCAGTAGACAACTTTGCTGCTTTTCTTATTATCAGGATGTTGACTTTTCCCTACTACCTACTTGAATATTGAGTTAGAGAAACAGACACACCTTTTCATGTTTTCCCAGCCACTTCCCTTTGCTTCTTCCTGCCCCTTCTCTTTAATGGTTAGGTTTGCACCTCAGCTGATTTGCAATAGCAGCGTTTCCTGTGGCAGTGAATAGATTTATTTATTTTTTTTAATTCATGAATAAAATGCTTTGAAATAAAGAGGAGAGACCTTTTCTACACTGTTGCTAATAGTGCACAACAAAGAATCCTTTCTTGCTCTACAGGAGGATTTTCATAGGACAGCACTGTCAACTGGTCAGTGGAAACAAAAATGTTGTTATCATAATGCTTTGTATCTTGAAATGAAACAGGAGAAGTTACATCAGGGGTGAGAAAAAATGCAGCAAAAAGCCAAAACCTATTGCCATAAACTGTCTTTGTCTGTAGAGAAAGCCACCAGATGTCAGCACAGCCTGTTCTTTCATTCTCCAGAACCTGTGTAAGCCAAGAAATATGCAATGTTTATGAAAAAAAAAACAGGCTGGATTTAGCCTGCAAGGTCTGTACTAGGGCTCTTGTGATGAAAGCTGAATCCTTTCTTGCAGAAAGTATTTCTTTTTATATTAAAATCAAAAAGCAGCAAATTGAACCGGTATCAGTGCTTAAATTCCTGTTGTTAGAGAGCATCCTTTGCAGAGCCAGTTCTAGCGTATCTAAATGTTTGCATGTGGTGAGGAGGCATTTGCAGAACATTCATTTGAAGAATTGTCTGGAAAAGATCAGTGTTCATTTGCTGAGGTTTTGTAAAGTAGACCTTTAAGTATGCCTGTTTTGTTTTTAAGCACAAGGAAAACCACCCAGAACAGGCACACATGCAATGCAGAGCAAAACATCTTCAGCAACACAGCTGAAACACACAACAAATGTATTCCCTGTGCTTCTGCCCCTAACGTCCTGGTATTTCTTCCTTGTAGTGCAGGGGCTGGAGGACCTGGCACTGCCTTCTCTGGGCCACGCTTTCTGAGCTGTGTTGAGCTGAGCTGGGACACGAGTTTCAGAGCCCAAGCCTAAGTGGTGTGCACAGCTTTATGCTGTCACTCATATAAGTGTGCATAGGTGCTGCTTGGTTAAGTGGGTAAATGTGAATTGTTGCACAGGGACAAGGTGTGATGGAGCTTTCTGCTGAGATTCCTGAGCTTTTCTTGCAGCAGCTTGCAGGTGCCAGGGAGACTCATAGAGGGAGAAGTTAAGTGGCAGGTAGAGCCTGGAGGACCTGAATTCTTCCTTCTGTTTTCGGCTGCTTCTTTAGTTCCTTTCTTCTGGCCTCGTGGCACTGGTGTCATGCTAGGGGTTTGCCACAGCTTGGTGTGTGGGAGA